CTAACTTGGATAATTTATGATTCTAAAATACTGCACTATAACTTTGATCTGGCTTTAAAGTGAGTTACAGACACTACCTCAATCCAAAGAAGTCTTCTTGCTACAGCAAGAGTCCAGTTAAACCAACTGTACACTGAAATAATTAATCTTGAAGCAGACAAGTACACTGTTGGTGTTAATAGAGATTTTTATTATTTGTTGTACATTTGCATTAGTTTCACTTTCCTTTGATTATTCTTCTACATCCAAATATTTTCCAACCTCAGTGATTACAGACTTAATACTTACCTGTTGGCTCCAGTATTTACCTCTGAATACCACAGAATAAGTTATTAAGATGCAATTTGGTGCCATGACCAAGTATATTTTATTGCAGGGTTCTTTCTTAACATGTTTCTCAACTCCACTGGATTTCCTCTTTGATGTTAAATTTGTAAACCATAATCCTGTAAAATTATTTCCAAAGACCACGTAGAACTTACAGTGAAAAGGACAAAGGTAAGCTTAATGTGAGAACACAAGCTGAGAGTACAGCAAGAAAGCAGGTACTCTTCTCAACTAAGAGCTCTTGCCAGCCAAGGTGACAGTTACATCTGCATTCTCAAATACATGAATATAGAAAGTAACCTCTACTTGTTACCTCTCACATTCAAAGCATAGGATGGCAAAGATAGATAATGATGGCAATGAGCAGTCTGGGAGTTACCTCTGTATGACACCTATGCATATCAGGCACTGATAAGAGTTGCCTTTAACCATAGAGAATAATGCAACTAGTTTGGTGAGTCAAGCCCAAGAAGAATAGAAGTGAGAAATCTGATGGATCAACTAGTACCTTGTCAAGATCCTAAAAACCATTTGGATTTCCAAGCTAGCAAGGTCTACAGACAATGTCTTGAGAACACATACAACAGCTGATATAGACACAAAATGCAACAGTATTATGCTATTGACTTCATCCAAGGACACAACATTTGTCAGAAAGTAATCCATATTTTAATAGTATACAAGTTTTCAGTTCTTAATTCTAAAAGGAAATATCTAAAAAATCCTGAATTTCCACTGGTGTAACATGCAACATATTTTGTCTTAGCATGTCATCATCCCTATTTTATTCATCACCCCTCGAAAATGTACGAAATTAAACGTAAAATGCTCTCTATAGAATCGTTATTGCTCAAACAGACCATAATTCTTATAGCCTTCAATTTTGTTTGGTTACAGAGCTATCAAAGAGAAAATCAAACCCCTCCTATCACATCCTCTCTTTCACAATTCGTTGATAGTTCTCTCTTACAGTTTCATTATATATTACCTATAACCAATAGAAAGTCAAGGTTTCATCTATCAATTTCACTCAGAGTAGCAACATGGCTCCTGTGGGAAAGTTAACGACTAGCTTGGATGAATTTGTAACGGCTCTTGTCGCATAGTTAGAAAGCCAGGAAAATTTTGAGAGATAAGTGAATTTGTCTACTTTTTGCACGTTATAAGTCTACATTCTTTGGTGCATTATTTAATTAAATAAAAATTATTAAGTGCACTACTATCTATAGTATAAAAAGTTAGGGTTAACTCTCTTCAAAACCCGACAGCAAGAAAAAAGATTATCTGAGTACTTTATTTCTTGTTTTTCATATTTATTCTTTATTTGTTATCATAAAAGTAACAAAAATTAAAAGTACGTATCTTTTTAAGTTATTTAAGACTAGATTAAGTAAAATAAGTAATAATAATAATATAATTAAAATGATTCATGAGGCACGCACTCGAGCAGCTCGTGGGTAATATAATTCGATAGCATAACGTAAGCTGCACATTCCCGAGTGATTTAAAACTTATAATGGTGCGAATAGTAGTTAGACACAGTTCAAAGAGCAATAAAACAATAAAATTTAATTATAAATAGATGCATAATGTTACAAACTTTTAGCTACTTAGGATAAACAAATGTAGTTTGAAGTCATTCTTGAAAGAAAAAAGGTTAATTTAGGTTTATTTCGATTTTTTTGGGTGGTTACGAGATCGGTCGAATTGACCAATCGAGTTTTGAGATAGGGTAGAAAAAATACAGATAAACTATAAAGTTTTACTGTAAAACCTCCTAAATGCATTTCAAACGTTTTTTAAAAATCTCAAATTTCCTTTGTGTAATCCCAGAGATGAGGAAAAGTATTTTTAATTTAAACATGAAAATTACTTTACACATGGACTATTGAAAACAAATACTCAATATATTCATGGGCAAATCTATTTTATTTTATTAGAAATACTTTAGTAAGAAATATGACTTCACAAAATTTGATAGACTTTCAGTAAACATTATGTCTTTCACATACAAAAATGATATTTTTAGTGAATTATTTTTAATAAACTATAAAAGATTTGTCTGTGAATATATCAAGTTTTTTTTTAGTAGTCCATACGCAGAGTGATTTTCATGCTAAGATTGAAAATACTTCATCTAAAAAATCTCAAATTTTATTTATGTAATTTCTTAAACCTCCTGAATACATTTCAAATGTTTGTTTCCAGTAAAACTTTATATTTTATCTTTTAGTTTCTTTACCCTAACTCTATACAAAGTTGGTCAATTTGACTGACCTCATTACTACGACAAAAAAAAAAAAAATTTAAATTACTATTTTTCTTCTTTCTATAATGATTTCAAATTCTAACATGAAACTATATTTGTTTATCCTTAGTGTCATTAAACTCATAATAGTATACATCTTTTTATACTTAAACTATTGTTTTATTGCCCTTTGAACCCATGTCTAACTACTGTTCTCACCATTATAAGTTGTAAATCACTTGGGAAACATGGGGCTCATGTTACACTATTGAACTACATTACCCACGAGCTACTCTGACCTGCTTGCATGCGTACCTTGTGAAATTTGTTATTATGTTATTATTATTATTATTATTAATTTTATCTAATCTAACCTTAATTAACTTAAAGAGATTTGTATTTTTACATTTTAGTTACATTTATAATAATAAATAAAGAATACACATGGGAAAATAAGAAATTAGCTACTTACATAGACCTTTTGTTTTTTGCTGTCGATGACAGTTAACCCTACTTTGTTATACTAATAGTAGTAATGTCCCATTAGTATTAGAATTTTTTTTGGCTTTCTAACTATGTGACAAGAGCCATTACAAATTTATGCAAACTAGTCAATATCTTTCCCAAGGGAACAAAGCTTGTTCTAAGAGAGAAATTGATAATTCTCTGTACAGAACACAGTGTAATATAATACATCATTTAATAGATGAAAACCTTGGTTTTCTATTGGTTATGAATAATTTAGTAATAAATGTAAGAAAGAACTATCAACAAATCCTGAAAGAGAGGTGTTGCAAGAGGGGTCTGATTTTCTAGTTGATAGCTCTGTAACCAAACAAGATTGAAGGCTATAAAAATTATGCTTTGTCTCAGCAATGACAATTGTATAGTGAGTAATTTATGTTAAATTTCATACTTATTGGAGGAGTGCTGAATAAATTAGAGAAGAGGGGACACCTAGAGAAAAAACATCTTATTTGTCGCACTAGGGTAAATTCAGGATTTTTTAAATTTTACCTTATTAAATTAAGAACTTAAAACATGTATAATATTAAAATAGGACTATTTTATACAAGTTTATACTATTTTAATTGTTATAACATAAACAAAAAGTAGTTTAATTAAATTTGGAATGTAAGTCACTAAAAACCTAGTGACATGCACAGTAAAGGATGCCTGTTGTGAGAGGGTTAATAAGAGTTATAGTAATTAAAATTATAATAATTCAAAGGTATCTCACATTCAGTTTTAATATTTATAAAAGATTCTCCAGATTCAGACCAAATATGAAGTCCCTAAATTAAAAAAAAAAGCCAATTTAAGTATAGAAATTCAGAGAAAAAAGATGACTACGCCTTTTTATTTTGAATTTCAAGTAGTGTGAGTCCTTTTTGCTTGTGTGAATTTATATATATTTATCTTATTAATGAATGTATAGTGTGAATTATCATATTTAAACATCATAATGATATTTAAGTTTGTAATATGTGGTTAATAGCTTTGTTAAAATGTGTTACCTATTTGAGATTTCTACAGAATGAGTCTTGCTAACATTATTATCAGAAATTATGGTAAACCTACTTTATTTCACTTTAGGAGTGCAGGAAAATTACATTTGAAATGTCCTTAAATAAGTTGCATATTCATTTTTTCAACTAATGTAAACATTTAAATGTAGTGTCAAAATATTTGAATTTTCAGGTTTGCATAAATAATTTTTCCTTTTAAACAATGTGGCTCGACTGTAAATCTCATGACTTGTTAATGCTAAAAATTGGGCTTCAGTACTTGTGGTGGGCAGAGCACAGATAGCCCATTGTATAGCTTTGTGCTGGTGTTTAATGGAATCTTTGTCTCCAGATTGGTGGTGTGGGTATGTGTTCCACATTAGTTCCTGTAAATCTCATGACTTGTTAATGCTAAAAATTGGGCTTCAGTACTTGTGGTGGGCAGAGCACAGATAGCCCATTGTATAGCTTTGTGCTGGTATTTAATGGAATCTTTGTCTCCAGATTGGTGGTGTGGGTATGTGTTCCACATTAGTTCCTTCGCTAGCTAATAAGTTTCTTTATTTTCATGAAAAACAGTGGTTGGCATAAAAGGAGAGCTTACTCATTTATAAGCCAAGGCCACAAATTAACCACATTAATTCAGCATATAAATTGTTTATTCTATGATTCCTTAAAGCAGATTTATGTCAGTAGTATTAATATAATTTTTTCAGTTAATGTATGTAGTATATGGTTACATAATTGCTCATTTTATGTGTAGTTTATTGAAAATTACACTAGGTCTTTTGAATATGTGTTTATAAAAATATTTTGATATGACATGGTTTAATGCATGTGCTTATTTTTGCCCATTTCATTGATGTTTCGTTTCATGTGTAATTTAATCGTTCATTGTTGGTTATTTGATTTTACAGGAAACAAACCCACAAACAATTAATGAACAGAGTTTGGACAAAAAATCATCAAGATCTCAGGATGAGACTTTGCAATCACACATCTCAAATAAAGATATCTTGGCCACTGATCAATATCAGAACAAACAATCTGAAGAAACAATTAAGAGAACATCTGGAACTGTGAAAAATAAAAATATTAGTCCAAGCAGAAGCAAAGGAAGTTATCAAAAATTAGAATTCTCAATTTCACCATCACAGAAGTTAGAAAAACAAGAAAAAAATTTTCCAAGTAAAGCCCAAGAACACAATTGCAAGGAGACTGAAACAGACACTAATGATCATAAAGGTCAGTTAAACTGTACTTTATACTGCTAAGTCTTTGTTCAAGAACTTAATTTATTGCTAATCTTGTGCTGGAATTGCATATGGCAATCACAGGAACATCTGATTAGAATTAGATAGAAATGAACTAAGAAAAGCATGTTGATTACCAAAAGTCAAACATGCTTTAGTAATATTTTATCTCGCTTAATGTGAAAATGATAAATTTAAGTTGCATTGTTTTATCAGAGAATTTCAATTATAAAAGTATAGAGCACCTAGGGATGCAGTTTAAGGAAACATTTACTTATGTAGCTTCAATCTCATTTGTATCTGATTATTTCTTGGTTTCTTTTTTTGCAGTAGTGACATATTTTCTGTATCCTCCACAACTTGAATTAAGGATAAAAAGCATAGTGATACCTCAGTTTCACTTACCATGTCTTACAGTAACAAGTTCTTAACATAATTTATTACTATGGATAATGTAGAATGAAGATAAAAATTTAAAACTGTAAACAACACATTTTCTCCTGTTTACCATTGCACCATCAGGAGTTTTTTTCTTTCTTTTTCTAGTGAAACAAGATGATTAAGAGAGTCACCTTTATGCATTACTCCATTAAGTACTTATATGTGTTTAGATAATGTAGATCAGTATTTCTGTTCATGTCTGAGAAAATATTTTTTTTTAAACTCTCTGAGCAGATTAACTTCCTTGCTACAAAGTCGATCAAATCAACCAACCTCATAACCATTTTCTACTCATTCTAGTTTCCACACTATAACATTTAAGACATTTTGTGTATTTTCACAAAACTTTCAAGGCATTCAGTAAACATTACAAATCTTTTGTACGCAAAAAATCAGATTTGGTAATAAAGTATTTTTACTAGAAATTTGTCCAGAAATATATATATATATAGTAAGTGCTAAGTGATTTCCACATTAAAATTAAAGATTACTTTTTTTTTCATCTGAAACATCTCAAATTTTATTTGTGTAATCCTAAAACCTCCAAAATAAATTTTAAACGTTTTGTTTGAGTAAAACTTTATATTTTATGTATTGTCTACCCTAATTTTATATGAGGTTAGTCAATTTGACTGACTTCATAACCACTAAAAAATAAATGAACGATATCTAAGTTATCCTTTTTTTTCTTTCTAGAATGAGTTCAAATTGTTATATGAAACTACTATTGTTAGTCCTAAATAGCTTTAAACTCATAACAATGTACATTTATGTATACTTAAATTTTATTGTTTTATTGCCCTATGAACCCTGTCTAACTACTGTTCATGACATTATATATTGTAAATCACTTGGTGAATGTTCAGCTCATGTTACACTATGAAGTTATGTTTCATACAGCTACTTGTAAGCTACATCATGAAAATATTTTATTATGTTATTATTATTTATTTCATCTAATCTAACCTTAACTAAAATAAAAGTTTCCTACTTTTACATTTTAGTTACTTTTATAATAGTACATAAAAATACCCATGGAAAACAAGAAAAATGTACTTACCTGGGTCTTTCTTTTTTTGCTGTTGATTGTTGATGACATTTAACCTTACTTTTTTAGACTAATGGTAGCACTAAATAATTTTTATTTATTTAAGTAATACACCAAAGAACATAGAATAATAATGTGCAAAAAGCAGACAACACCCCATAAATGTGACAATTTTTCTAGCTTTTTAACTTCACTTTAGCTTATCAATGTGTTCCCATGGGAATCAAGCTTAAACTGAAAGAAAAACTGACAGTTCTCTCTACAGAAACAACATAATATTACAAGTCATTTGATAGATGAAAATCTTGACTTTCTGTTGGTTATAAATAATGTAGTATTGAATATCAGAGGTAACTCTTGGCAATTTAGGCAATTTTTTTTCAGACTGTCATGACTTTTCTCTTAAGTGGATACAAGTGCCATATTATGCTTGGAAAAATTCAGGAAATTCATAAACACTGATGATTTCATTGGGAGCTCACTTATATCAAACCAGAAGTTTGTAAGGTTTTATTTATAAAATTAAATAAATAAAACCTTTTTTTTTTATTGAATAAATTTCTAATCTGCAGTAGTTTTTAATGTGTGGAAGAAGGACTACAAGTTTATTTTCTACAATTTTTTAATTCAATGGTGTAATTTTGCTCTCAAGGCAGATTGCACCAATAAGACCGTGAAACAATTAATATATATATATATATATATACGCTTTCTATTATGTGCATTATATACTATACAGCACTAACTTAAATGAATGCTGTCTTTCACACAAATGTACATTTATAATATTCACTTATGTCTGTTGAGCATTATGAGTGATGTTTTTGTGCTCAGAGTTATGTGTTGGACTTAAAAATGGAGTAGAACACATTGGTGCACAACACTCTGCATTTTGAAGGTAAAACATACAAAATGAAGAGTGAATGCTCCAAAATATGAAAAATCAATATTCGCATTAGATTTACACTACAGTGTTAATAAAGTGGCAGACGTGAGAAATATTACATTTCATGATTACATAGTGTAGGTATACCTGCTTTGTAACATGCCACACTCATGTGACACACTCTGTCCCATAAACACACCTAATTATTGTGCATGTTTCCACCAAACAGCAAGAAGATAATATGTGTCATAAAACTAACATAAAATAAACAAATATTTGCAGTTAACCCTATGTGAACAGCATTAGTGCTTTGCACCAACCCAGTTTCTTTGAAGCTGTGAATAATAATGTTTACTATAATTCCAAATTTACTAAGTATATCTTCATGAGAATTGATAGGCTTTTGTTAAGTATTACAAGTATGTTTAATAAAGTATTTGTATTAAAGTTTTGTCTGTGATTATCATGTTGAGATGTATTTTCCTGTTACGGTTTTCATATTTACATAATCTCTACAATTCCCTAAATGAATATGAAAAGTATTTTCAGTAAAACTATTTTATGTGTTGTTTTCTCTACCAGGACACTAATGATAGTGAAATAGCAATGTAAGTAAAAGGAAAAGTTTTAAAATACAAAATAAATCTAAATTACCCATTTCTTTTCTAGAATGACTGCACATTATAACAGATGATTACACTATTTTTACAGTCAAAGCTAACAGGCTTTTCAAATCTGAATTCATTTAGCTTTATTTGTATAGCTACTCTTAAACCCTCTTAGAGTATATCAAAAGTCATTTATAGCTTTGTGTAAACAAACAATTGAGTTACAAGAATTCCACAATTGAATTATTATCACCCATTGCAACGTGCATGTGATAAGAAATTGTCATGAACATTTTTTATAATTAATTTTTTCTTTTAAGTTTTATTGTCTCACCTAATAAGTTTCTTATTTTTACATTATATTTACTTTTGTAACAATAAATAAAACATATACAGTTAGGCCTTTTGCTATAGACAATGAAGCCCTGTAGGTCCACTTTTTATAACTGTTGGAGGTCCAGTGTATTATTATTTTGTATTTCAAATATGCAGTTTCAAAAACAGAATATTATCACACACAAAAATGGAATGTCCTGTAACTATTATAATTTAACTGGCTTTCTAAATAATTTAAAACTTTCTAACAATATTAAACAAATTCTATCAGTTGGTCAAGCCAAACACCATAAAAGCAAACAGTGAAACAAACTAGGCCTGTAACAAATTGTGTAAATTAGAATTTGCTCTTTCTGTTGTTTATAGATAATGCAATAACAAATGTCTGAGGGAATTATTGATATTTTTGAAAAACACGATGAGTGGCATGTGGGTTTGACAATAAAGCAAAAATCTTGGAGGCTATAAGTTTACATTATGGCTAAGCAATAACTATAGTACAAGTGTGTGATTGATGACAAATTAAGAATATTGTATATGGGAAAAAAGAAACCTTAAAATGGATAATTTGGACCCAAGAAGCATCACATGCTACAGAGAAGTTAAGATTGAGAGCTTATTTAAATATTTTTCTGAAATTAATTAAGTCATTAAAATTTGAATTATAAGCTACATTTTGATGCAAAATTTATTAACATAATTGATAATAAATTTGTTTAATTATATTTTGAATCTAACTGTAAAAAAAAAATTGTACCATTCATATAGGGTTATAAAGACACTCCATCAACTTATACCTGATTAGCTCAATTGCTATTTATATACTGATCAATCTAGGTCCAGGTATTTTATTTTTTGCATTTTGGGCTCCATTACCAAATATTTGAGGCCTGGTGGTTAGTGTTCAACTCACAATCTGAGGGACCTGGGTTCAGATCCCAGTCACACTGACTGTGCTTGCCCTTTTAGCCATATGAGCATTATGATGTGATGATAAATCCCACTATTCATTAGTAAAAGAGTATCCCAAGAGTTGGCAGTGGGTGGTGTTGATTAGCTGCCTTCCCTCTGGTCTATCACTGCTAAATTAGGAAAAGCTAGTGCAAAATGATAAAAATAATAATAATTTTGGGGAAAATATTCTGGTTTTAAAGGGCAGTCAGAACTGTTAATGGAATATTGTGATGTATGTTATTAAAATTGTTTTGTCTTTGTTTTCTCATTAGTTTTTTTCTTGAAAATCCAAACTAAATTAAAAAAAAAAAAGGTTCATGATTTACTTGTAACAACATACCCTGTGATTACAGATACATGTGACACAACAAATAAAATTATTCAGAACAATTATTATTTTAGATATTGTTTAAGTGTATGTGTTATTGCACAAGAAACTTACAGGCTAAACTCTACATTGAAATATACAGGTTTCTATTGACGTACAAAGTTTCCATGTCTTTGAACAGCTTTTTGTCAGGTGAAATTAAATTGGAAAACAGTAAAAATAATAAAATGCAATTGTTTGGGAAAGCCCCAAGATATAAAGTATTGTTATTGCATACAACAATATAAGAGTGATCTCATGAACAATGTATGTATGATTATTTGCTTTGGTGGCTTTGTTGGCATGGTAACTTCTTATGATATGTTTTCAGCAGTCAAATAGGACAAATTTGCTTGCTGCCTTCTTGGCATGTTTAAATAATATGTTCAATAAATATTATTTGATTTTGGTTATATGACAGAAGAGTTTTAAGCTCCAGCTAGAACTTAGTAATTTGGTAGAAAGGTACAATGCTTTATCAAATGTTATTAAACTTGTGAATAATTGTATGATGGCAACAAACATTTGACACGTGTGGGTTGATAACATTTAATTCAGAATATACATATTCCACCTTCAACAAACTATATTAACAAGTTAAAATATTAGATATAATGATTTCTAAGTTTTTAAAGTTGCAACATTTTATAAAGAGGAAATAAGATACAGCATAAAAGGATAAAATTAATTTAAAAAATAATAGGATAGGTATAAAGTGTGACAGTTGTAACCATATTAGATTTTTTTGTGGAATTATACACGTTATTAAAAACAAACTTAAATGTAGCAAAGTCATGTTATTATTTAGAGTTTGGAGTTCATTTATAATAAGTAAACTTTTTTAAATTAAAAGTTTGATATTAGATGATTTTGAAATATGTAATCAAGATGTGGTGTTTGCTGTTATCATTATGTGTGCTGGTGGTTGCTGTTATCATTATGTGTGCAAAATGTAGTGTCTGGAGGTTTTGAGAGTTGTTTTCCAGTTCTGATTTTTTGATACTCCCATATGTTTGCAGGTTTAATTGGCATATTGTTTTGCCAGTGTAAATGGCATTACAACCACCATGTGTATTTATACGTGATCTGGGAATGTATAGGAGTAGGTAATAGGTCTTTAGACCTGAATAAATTGTTAATCTTGAAAGGTGATTTAAAATCACTTGTATTTTAATCTGTGGATAGAAAGTTTTAATTATTCTTAAAATTTGTGACATTAGTATGAAACTTTCTTTGCCTAAGAAAGGAATGATGAGTTTTAATGGGTATCTGTCTAAAGTATTGACAGAAGTAATGTTCATATGTAAGTGAAACTGAATATATTACACAAAATCTACATATTAATATTCCTGGATGAACTTTGAAATAAAGATATTCAGTAAATCTGTTAATTTTTGTATTTTACATGTGCGCTATTTGTACTGTTATTTAGGTTGTGTGTTTTATACCCCTAGACATTTATACTAATTGAATTTCGTTACATTTCTGTATTAGAAGTTAGTCTGTCTTCTAAGAACTAGGATATAGTGTATAATTCTTTCTGTAAAATACATGTCAAATTTTAAAGTAAGTGTGTTAGTGTAGAGTAACATTTTATTTTCACATAAATCTAACAAACTCATTTTTATTGCTTGTCCTGAAATAAGAAGCATTTCATTTGTTTATAGAGAAAGTTTTCTGAAACTTAAGGATTTTTAAATTGAATTATATGTTGATTAATTTGTGATGTAATGTTTTAACTTTTAATTTTAATTAAGTCAATTAATGTCATGAAAATAATCAACTAGTTTTTCTAATTATTACTATTTTCGACTATTTGATCTATCCTTTAATCGAAGTTATGATTAATGTGACAAAAATAATCAAGTAACCATAATATTTCTGATTATTACTGTTTTGATTAATTTAACTAGCCAGTAATTAAAATTATGATTAAGTCAATTAATTTTATGAAACTAATCAACTAATTGAAATTAGTGTTTCTGATTTTTACTGTTTTCAATAATTCCAACTATCAAAGTACTTGAAGTATTGCCATTATGATTTCTCATTTTCAACTAATTCAAAGGTTGTTTTAGCTTAATTGATTAGTGTCAGAACTCACAAAAAGAATCCAAGTACTCGAAATTAAGTTTTCTGGTTATTTCTATTTTGTTTATTCCACATATAAATCTAATGTAAGAATAATTGATTAGTGATAAATTAGTGTGCCCAATGATTAATGGATTGGCAAATTCCAATATTTGCCTAGCTCTAATAACACTATATGTAAAATTAAAATGAAGTTCTTTTACATATAAATTGATTTAGTTCAAGAGTGCATCCTAGAGTATTTTCATGTTAGATGCCATGCCCTGATTGAGTAAGCATATTTATGAAACTGAGTATGTTGTAATTTATATCAGTAAAGAGTTCTTACTGTGTTTAAGGTAGTGAACTACCAAAAACCAAAAATTTGAGGAAAATATAAATAATTTTGGGACTGAATTTCCAAATTATGAGTAACAAGATCAAAAACTTTAGATTTTAACTAGCTAGAAAGCTGTATGAAACTCAAAATTAAGTTTTGATATTAAGTAGGCTATAGTTTAAAATAAAAACTATGATACATTTATATATAAATCATTCGTAAATGCATTAAAATCACATAGGACAAAAACAAAATAATAATTTATAGCAGTTTGCAGGCTGTGAAAGCTGTAAACTTAGAGAAGATAACTGCAGAAATAGCATCTAAGAGGCATGGGGATATCCTCTTTTTTAATTAACTTCTAAACTGTTGTAACATTGTTATGCAAGTAACTGAAGGACTAGTAAAGAAGAGAGGCCAGATGTCGTACTATTCATCATGTGTGGCTGGGCTGGTAGTAGGCACAGTATTAACTTCCACAACATTAAATCACAACGTTAGATTTTATACCTTTTTCACTCTTATAATAATCTAATAAGATGATACGTACAACTACCCAATAAATATTAACAATATAAATATTTCAATAATGAAAAAGAAGTATAGGTCATAATAACAATATAACCTCCCAATCATCACCCATAATATAAAATAATTGATTATGAATTTACTTAAATGGATGAACACAACAAAAACGTGTGTGTGTGTGTGTATATATGTTACAGAATGACTGACAAAAAGTATAAACTTACTTGAAAATAATTTCAGAAGTAGCACCCAAAAATTTTGGAAATGTCTTGACTTTTCAGGTAATTGCAGGTAAAAAAGTGGTATACAAGAAACTGAAGAACAATGATAAGAAGGGGGGTAAGGTCTGGTTGCTTAAACACTATCCCAAGACTTGGTTAGTTGTGAGCATGAGAGTAACTCCACAATACAATTTACAAAGATAGGAAATTCAAAAACTAGATTATAAATCTTAACTGTTATTCAACCTTATAATGTAACTCATATAATACACTCAACCCACTACTCATTGTAGTCATTCCAATTAGTACAAATGTAATGTTCATTTATTACAACAAGAAGTGTTAAACATTGTGTCTTATGAGAGACTGGTAACCTGCTTATTTGCTTGCCTGTCTCACGTGATCGTTACTGTTTTTACAAATTTGTTGTAAACAGGACTGTACAGTGTTTTTAAGAGAATTGTAACCATTTCATTACTGTGGCCTTTCCCAAAGTAGCTATAATGCTTAATTTGTTTTTGTAAATGTATATACCTAACATACTTATATGTATTTTTATTTTGAAGGGGAAAAAAACTTGGATTCCATTGTTCCAGTCTTTGCTAGTTCCATGTCTGAATACAGACAGCCAGATACAACTACTATTCATACCGTTACTACGACCACTGCTGCTACGGTTGTCAATTCAGGAGATGAAGTATATTCAACCCCTGGCCCAGAAAAACAACAAACCAGCACTCCAGACTCTTTTAATCCTCGTCATTTTTGTTTCACATTAGACTTGCGTTCCTTACAGATAATGCAAAATATACCTAAACTTTACTGTTTTCTCAGGTATAGTGAATCTCATTTAATCCACTGAAGTAATTTTTCATACCTAAGTCAGTAAAAAACTTAATGCTTTTGGTATTTTTCCAATATTTTTTATTCTATGTTTAACTTTTTTATGCCTTTATAAAAACAAGTAGTATTAATTGTTTTTAAGTGCCATAACTGTTTTATAGTTTTACAAAGTGTTATATTTCTTTTTACAAGCAGACTAGCCATCAATTATTTTTTATTTTTAAGAGTGAATTAATTTGTTTTTTTTTTACTATGTTAATAAATATCAATAAAACCAAAAGCAATATATAATTTCCTTCATCAGCATTTTCTAATGACTAGTATAGTCTTGATTTTGTCAAAATTTGGCTACATATTCTACACAGATTTTATTTCATTTTGTGTTCTCTTTTATTCATTGTAGAATATCTTAACCTTTTTTCTTGTCATTTATAACATTGTAGATACTCCTATCCTTTCTTTGGAAGCTCAGCTCCAATTTTGACACATCCATGTGTAACTGTTAATCCAGGAAGTATTGTCACCCTTCCCCATGGATATTGTGCTTTTAACTTTGCAACTTCTATTCACCAGCTGCATAATACATTTACAAGGTAAATTTACCTAGTATCTTTCAAGGAAACTTTACGAGTGAAATACTGAATAAAAACTATTTGTAATTTTATTGTTATATGAAAAATAAGGAGATAGAGCTCATTTTATTGTAAAGTATCATACTGTTATGATTGGAAATATCATCTTATTTTACCTCATAACTAGTGAAGGTTATGCCTATTTAGTTTTATTCAGGAAAATTTTCTAAATTTGTATGTAGGTGTTCTGCATATAGTCACTACATCTTTGTAAGCCAGATGTGGGAAGGTAACATATTTGCATTAATCCTCTACCATAGTCAAAGATTACTTACAATAGTAACTGTTTTTGTGCCATGCCATGCTTTTCTAAAGAGAGGTTATATTCATTTCAAGGGATGGTATACAAAGATTCAAGGCTTGAACTTAAGGTCCAGCAATCTGAAATTAGAAGTATTTTTGGATCACTCTCTTTAGCTGGGATGTTCCAAAGCCACTTAGCAGTTTTTTTTTAACTCTATGACCACCGGGCTACTATCACTCTGAGTAGCCAATGGAAGTCTTGCTGTATTTCATTCCAACAATAAAACTAGTGGATGAAATTGTTTGAAACTTCATAAG